TTGAGAAATGAGGATAAATTCGTACCATTAAAAGACTACTCGCTTGATAAGCGAGAAGCGGTATCTGTTGGAATAGAGGGAAAGACGTTAACGTGATTGTCAGTACCGAATTTTCAACCGATACTACAGTACTCACGAATTGTAAGAGAAAAGTGAAAATGTAGGAAATCAATTTCCTTAGGGCTCGCTTCTCAATATATACTCTTTGTGGTGACGCGTAACTGGATGTGAGCAATGTGTCGTCGAGGTTTTTAATTTTCAATAATACTTTGAGGTAGCAGAATATTATGGTGACCAGAGATAGGGCGATGAGACTAAGCATTATTAACGGTATTATGGTGCTCGTGTCATCAGCTGCACACCTAAGTTGTGCGAATAGGTTTGAGAGATCAACGTTGAAATCATAAACATCTCGATTAGAGTGAAAATGGATTTGATATAAACCAATATTTTTGTGGACCAAAATCGCGTATCGAAATTAAAACAATGAGCATTGATATCGATATCGTGGTGAGCCAAAGTTTATAATCATAGACGCCGGTTTCCACGTAAATCTCTCGACACACACGAAGCCACGTGGATAACGCCACAAATCCGACCAGGAGAATGTTGAGGGCGAACAATGCTACCACATAAGCACCCACTACACCACATTGAGGTTGGGACCATGGCACTTTGTAAATAGCGGTGTGACCCTAGAATTTACGGGACAAAATTGATCGGAACGTGATAATAAGAGTTGATATGAAAAAGAACCAGAACTCACCAGATTCACCGTATAGGCTAATGATAACATGGCATCTTTATGCGTATACGTAAGTACAGTACGTTTTTATTAATGAGCTCGAGGTAGGGTGGCGCATTTGTCGATGAAAATTATTTTTTTTAAGCATACCTGTCAAGGCGATATAAAAAGGGAATCTTAGGGATAGTGTTATACTACTTGCGCCATCGGTTTTCCATTGCTTGTAGGTTCCTATTCGAATGGTTAACGTGCGGAGTGTGATGAGTTTTACATTACTCGTTTTTAAGCATAGCTTTGCTATATCCTAAATTAGGATTTAAAAAGGGCTGGACACGTAATACTTACGATAGATGACGTATATACTCCCCCAAAAATTCAATTGCAAAGTGAATAAGCCAAAGCCCATAATCACCCAAAAATCGATAGCTGCATTCTGACCGTAATAACTTGGGTCGTCAAGTTTTGGGATGCCGGTGGCGTTACTTGCAG